ATCGATTAGCCATGATCGGTTTCTCGTAAAAACGCCTTAAGCCTTAAGGCCTAAAGGGCAGGACAGGCCAGCCCAAGACGTCTTGAGTCTAGTTAGTAGAGTCTAGTCTAGCATGTATTGTAGGCTATGTAGTTGGATGAAACTATTGCTTTGTATTATGCATGTTTGGTGTTGAAAAGATTTCAATTATGAAATGTATCTTCGCTAGTACATGTACGGAGTTGAGAGTGAAGAACATGCATGTACATACTTGTTGGTGCATATACACTGTAGGAACTATATAGCAAACGCGACCAGAAGAGTAATCGCCTTGGATTCTGGGGCAGACAAAATCGTGCCCGACGCTCAATAGTAAGATGCCGATGATACAAGGCCTGTCGTCGCTGATGTAGCCTTGCTCGCCTCAAGAAATTAAACATTTAGCAACAGAAGATCGCGAATACGAATGACGAGCTCATCCATGACCTTTACTTACTGTCCGTAATTCGTATCAAGTGTGCATGCAGTGTGGACGCAGCTATAGATTATGGTGTAACCGAATTTACGAATTCAAAATTAACCTTTGTCCAGTTCCTTTCTATAAATACAAGTGGCGACTTGTGTAAGTGTCAAACACAAATCGTAAACCGGCTCGATATAAATTTAACTTTTAGAACAGAGAATAATAGTTAGTAAAAATAACAAAACGTGACTGGCTTGAATGTATAATTGTGTGTTTTTTATAAATACTCTATTGCAAGTTATTATATTATATATAAAAACTGGTCTATTGTTCATGACTATGGTATTTATATTACACAATTATTAATGGTATATATGAAATAAACAATCATGTTTACTACGTATGTGTTGTGTTTCGAGGCAATCAATTAATCGATTTCTATGAGAAAGGAGTGTAATAATCGTTGGCAATGTCTTGGACAAACTAATAGTCTGGTGATCGTGACTAAATATTAATTCCCGTGAAAATCTTGAAAAAAACCCATTCTGAAGTCATGAGTAAGATAGTACTATATCTAAGCCATCATGTGTATAGGCCTTAATATCGTTTAATTTATTACTGAAAGGGATTTTAAACCATTTCCCACAACCCAAAAACAATCGATTTCTTTTTGCACATTTCACATTGACAGCAAATCTTACATGTCTATAGCTAATTGAGATTCGTAAAAAAAATAGTTGCCGTGGCGAAATTATATCTATCATATTCTTAATAAGTTACCAAGCACAACGGCAGCTTTATTACTGAGAGAGCTAATCGCAATTATTTAATGTTTAATCTTCTCCTGCTTTTCCGCTTATTGTCGATATGGAGAAGAAATTTATTTTTGTAATTATTTATGAGATCTGTACTCGATTAAGCTTTAATGACACGCATTTGATGTATTGTGTGATATCTTTCAAAATGAATTGGCGTATTTCTATTGAATAGTTTCTCTTGCATAAAGATCAATGTCGATAAAATTATTAGGTTATTCGATGTCACTCTGGCGGATTCTGACATTTAATAAAAAAAATTATGAAGACAGCTACTTTAATTTATTGGTATAAAAATGAAAAGTGTTGTCTATAATTTTAAACATATCCCTTCAGTGTATACAGTCATTCTAGCTCCAGGAAACTCGTTAGAAAGTGGTGCTGCCTTAGCATCATTTTAATCGATGTTTTGACAACGAATGAAATGGGGTTTAACGACTATCATTGTGACATTTAGCAATCTTTGAAAAGGTCCACACGTTTTTTGACAGTAGCAGAAGGTTTTAAGATCAGTGTAACATCTATATAGATCAAAATGCGAACATGAACAACTGCGTAGCCAATGTGTAAATATGTATATATAAAAATTAATGATTAAGTATTCATTTTATTGTTTTGTTGTTTACTCACTTATTTCTTTTACATATCCATATTAATTCTTGCATTTAGGAGAGAGGTCATATAGGCTATGCCTGTTCCTCAATGTCTTTCAATTTCTGAATATAATATTGTTTTTAAAAAAAAAACAAAAAAAAAACATTTGGAGAGCACAAGAATAATAATTCTATAAATTATACAACGATGCTAATTCCCAATCACCAATTTGACGCAAAGTTTATTCAGATGAGATGACATAGGGTTTAACGTCCAACCGGACTTAATATTATTTCGTCAGAGAATCACGAGATGCACTATATTAAACAACGTGTCAAAACTATGGCGTAATGATTTAAACAATATCGGGGGATGTCACGGGATAAAATAGTCACAGTATATACTTAATGCGTATTTATGAACAGTGGTTTTCAACTATTAATAAGCTTTCAACTTGTCATAAGGTTGACCAGTTTGTCAAAGTGTAAATTACAGTATAAATATCTTTTATTGTCAATGTTTAGCCTAAAGCTAATATTGACAATAGCGTATAAAAGTACAGATCGACTTTCTTTTTTTTCCTTTTCTTTCTAACTTTGCAGCCTTTGTAAGAACAGCCGTACTTTTCAATAAGGATGAAATGAGCTGGCGTGTATTTTATTCATACATGTAAAATATTTAAACTTTGAATATTCAAATCACGTAAATCATACACTTACGTCATTTTTTATTATTATTATTGTGTAAACGGCAAAGAAAATGTGTGTTATTGGCATTCAGATGGGACGAAAACCCACCGTCAACCAGTGCATTGGAATTCGACGAAAAGTAAGACTTTGGCGCTAACCTGAAGACCTGAAGGTGTTGGCCGAGAAAGTATAGTCGTTTGGATGGGACGAAAAATCGATGTCCCGTTTATCCATTGGCAGTTGGAATTTGATATAAGAGTAGGCCGTACCCACATTCATTAGCCCAGTCGGGGCAAAACAGTAGGACGGTAAATCCCATTTCATTTGGCGCAGAGAAATAACATCAAATTTCATATTCTTTAAGTGTTTTAGACGACAATGTCATGTTATCCCGAATTGTTTTACTGCATCAAACCTAATAAACCGTCGGTTCCGTATTCTAAGTTCAAAAAAAAAAGAAAAGAGTTATTATGTATCAAACTTTACCCTGCTTTCTCACGGTCATATTTCACACATGAATGGTGTTGGCTTTCAACATTCATGCGACAGTTTGAAACTTGTCACTGCTGAATAGCATCTATTCTTTAACGACGTAAGCTGACCGATTTTCAAATATGTATTTTAGAAGCTAATTGGTTTGAGGAGCTGTAAACAGGTTACAGACACTACAATAACATACTGGTTGGCTGTTTATAGAAATTGTTTGAACTGTCTGATCGTATTTCATGCGTTTGGTTGCAAATTTACGGGTCCTAAAACTTGAAATAAGACCACACCCATCTGCATCTGTATTATTTAATTAAAGCCTTAACACGTGAGCATAAAATATACATAGTCAACAATAAGTTTGTGAAAAAGAAAATTTAGGCCCGACAATTATTCAAATCGATTTGGTTTCTATTGATTTCACACCGCCATCTTTATGTGTCTGTAATAAACAAGGCAATAATAATTATGCTATCTTGAAGATTTATTTTGCACTTGGATGTGCTTAAATTAGGTATATTATGTAATAACATACCAACCGTCTATATTAAATAATGTATCTTTCACTTGAGCTACATGCAAATAATACGGTTTGTTGTGCCTTTAAGATAAATTAGGTCAAGATGAAATGCCAGGAAAGAAGAGAAGAAAGAATGAGTATACATTACGACAGTGACCTTATCGTCCAGAACAAATATATATCCACAGTTTAAAGTGACAATATTGAATATTGGTATTACTTTATAAAAATCAACCATGCCCAGTTCTTGCACTGACTTAAAACATACTCTATTATAGTCATTTGCAAACTTGGTTGATATTACAAACATTAATATTACTTAAATTCAAATTTCTAAAACTCAAAGGAGTTGCCTATGGCATTATTCAAGAAGTTGGAAGTTTTAAATTATTATACATTTTCTACGATTAGTATGATTAAAAGCTTATAGACCTGTTGCCGCTTTCACCACGTTTCATCTAACGGACAATTCTTAAATAGTCGGTCTAAACATATTTTATGACTCAATCAATGTCAAATCGACTTTAAATACAACCATAATCATGAATATTTATGACGCTGTTATATGATATTTATTTGATTGAATTTATTAGTATGTTTATCGTAATTATTAACCAAACTTAAAATATTTATTGTTTTATGGAGTAGATGGATTACAGATTATTGTCGTTAAGATTGGATATAAACGAGACGGAAGGCAATCAATACCTAACAGAGCTGTAAACGATTTACAAACTAATGTATTCTAAACACGTCATCCAGCCTCGATGATAGGAATGATCGAACAACACGTCAACATGTATTGTCATCTTTCAAGCCCACTGGGAAGGAGATCAAACCTGGACAGGTCTGGTCCATACGGTAAATCCATCTATTGGAATTCTAGACAAGTTAACCCTTAGGGTGTCTTAACAAAACTTTTGGGAATTTCCGAGAGCCCCAATCGACCACACTATTCTCCCAATGCCACAGGGACAGGGCCCCACTCTATTAGAAGTGATCATTGAAGCGACATTTAGTGCTTTTGGGTTCTTCACTATTTGGTAAAACATTAATTTTCGCCAACCTACAAAGCCATCGCAATGAGTCGTACAATTTGTTTATTGTTTTCCATTGTGAATCAAAGTTTGTTTTGATATATTATTCAAATTAATTACATTTATTTTTGTTGATGGGGTGTTGAAGAAACCTGTGACTCGTTTTACAAGGGTTCTTACAGTTTCGTAAATAGGATTCAAAAGTAAAGGTATCGATTTACGTGTACGTCATTTGAAGTCTCACATGTGCTTTGTGAAATGTGACCAAACATTCTAATAGCCGGTACAAACAAAAGTATTCATGCACTTGAAAACTGACAAATAATACCCCTTATATTATTGTCATTTAATCCATGTTCGTAAAATACTTTCTCTCTCGCCTTCGTAATATTTAATGACAAACAACAACAAAAAAACTGCACCTACATAATACCTGTATTGTCACTAAATCTTTTTATATTGTTCATACAAAGACATACATTCATACATACACTGGTTTTATAACATATCATTCACAAAGATATAACAATATAGATTTGTCATAGAAAATATACCTTCACCATGCAGTATATAAAAGAAATACATTATTATTTACATTATAGATTACAAACGTGCTTATATGTCATAAAGCCATCGAATGATTATAAACTGGTATGGCAATGAATCACGGGAAGATTGTTAAATGCCTTTAGCTAAGGGGAGGTAACTATATAATCAAATGAAACAAGAAAAGTCGTATATATTATATTGACACATTTTCTGACTTAAAATTGACTTAACATTAAAGCTAACGATGAAGGGAAAGTAAACTGTTTAAATATTTAGATACAGATATTTAAGGTTCCTTTATCCTTTATTTGCATTACCATTTTCTACAGTCGCACTGGAAAACAAAACCATTTAATTACAGCTTATGACTGCTGCACAAGTATTGTGGACATACTATATTAAAAAAAACTAATTTAATTAAATTGTTCATACCATAAAAAAAATGCCAAAACAATTATTCTGCTGTATAAATAAAATCAACATGTAAAATTATTTCATAAACATTAATATAGGAGTTACTTAGGATCTAACTGACAAAACAATTATTCTGCTGTATAAATAAAATCAACATGTAAAATTATTTCATAAACATTAATTTAGGAGTTACTTAGGATCTAACTGACAATTTAACCAGTCTAAAATTATATAAAATTGGAGATTTTCATAAATTTTTCAATGACTAGCAATAGTAAATGTTCATAGAAGACTGAAGGCTGTAATTAATCATTACAAACATCCGGTATTATTATCATTTATATAATATAAATGCTATGGATACCAGTAATTGAGTTGTAATTAAACAAATTATACAACCAAGCATATTTTAGCCTGGAGTAATAAAGACAGATACTATGAAGTTACACATGTATATACTATATAATATTTATACAATCTAAGTACATTATATATACCCTAGATTATACTTTGGTAGCTACTGTCAATTGAGACATCTATAAACATATAAAAATAGCACAAAAAAAATAAAATATTGTAAACCAGTTACCATATATAATATATATAATTTTTGATTAAATGTGATGTATTATTAACATTCTGGGTGCTATCTGAAATTCCATTCCATTACCACTCAGTGGCACTACCTGGGCATAATGACTCTCTGTAGAAGTATTTTTTATTGTGTACATTTATAGAATTTGTAAATGCCAATGCTACCGTTTATTTGTGATTACAAAAAAGACTGAATAAAAAATATATTTATGACTAGCTAAATAATTGAAGCAATTACAGAATATTTGGATCTTTTGTTAAGCTTAACATTTGCGTAAGAATAACATATCTACTATATCATAAATCATATAGTTGCCAAGAAGGAAGGCAATGTACAATATATACTCTTCAAAAAAAGTAGGGGATATTCAGAAACAAGACAAAACTGCGGAAATGCACTGCTGTTTTTATTATAGGTAACCAGTGTATGTTAATAACAGGCCAACTGCCTACACATGAACATAAACAGTTCATATGGGCGGCTTATCTGACGGCCCCATTTTACTCGCAAAGGGATAAACCGTCAAAAGTGAAAATGGACGTTTATGATTTTTGTCTTAATAATGAGTAATTGCTCCACCAATCCTCAGACATTCAGCAATTTGTCGTGGCATGCTCCTAATCAACCGTCCAATCACGATTTGGGGCAATCTGACCCACTCCTCTTGCAGTGCCACGGCCAATTCTTGCAGTATTGTCGGTTGACGTTGACGTCGACAAACACGTCTCCCGATCAAATTAAACGTAACACACTAAAGCAAAGATATGCTAAACAGTAAATCTTATGCAAGAACCGATAGGAAAGCAAACATGAATAGATAAACCAGCACGCGGCAGTTTCCATCAACCCTTCCTTGAAGTGTCACATTTGACAATGAACCCCTCCCACGTGTATGGCGCTTTTGCGTGTCGCATGTGCAGCTCAGTGGTTCTGTTGGGCGATAAGTTCTTCCTCTTTGAACACACTCTAAGCATGTCCAATGTCCATGACTATTTATCATATCACAACCTGGATAGGTATTGCATTTCAATATCCCCTACTTTTTTTGAAGAGTAGATTATTAAAATGTCAATTAATTTTAGGGCAAAATCAGCAACATTACAGTTTTTTCAAATGGGTGAAGGAATTTCTTCACACAATAATGATATAATTTGAATTACAGAAAAACTAAAAAACATTATTTTGGAAACAGGTTTCACTGTCTAAAGAACAAGACAAAAAAAAGTTATAAAATAAAAATAACTTGAAGTAAAACATCAATGAAATTAGCTCAAACTGTTTAAAAAAACAATCAAAATTAAGATTACAATTTTATTTTGTTTTTTTATATCTGTTAATTATACTGTGTAGTAATCCAATCAAATTTTTCTGCTAGGAAGAGTTCAGTATGTACTTCATGATGTTATATTCTCTAAACCACTCGCAATTACTTCATCATAGCATACAACCCTGTACACCAAAACATGCTATTTATTTAGTCAAGAAGATTGTGATCTGAACACCAACTTCAAACCCAAGATGTCAGATATTTATGTGATTCAACATAAAAAATTACTAGGTAAATAACATCACATTTGAACCAGTTGGAAACTATTCACATTATTGCATTATATTTAAAATATTCACATAAAAACATTATCGGTTTGGTACTAAACAAAATGTAAACAAATTTCATACAAGAGACTTCCAAGGCCATTTCTAAAGTCTTTAAACAGAAGATTATTTTTAAAACAAAAAACCCTCTCATAGTTTGACTTGGTATCAGCTTTGGTTCAGTTCCTTTTGAATGGGACTAAAGTTAGGTATCTATATGGTAATCTGAGAACTGATTAATCCCCTTTAGACCGGAGGCTCAGTGCAGGGGGGTTCAATGCTTTTAGGGTCACATAGGGTGGGGGGTCAATCAAATGGGCACAAAACCAGACCCAACTTTTCCATAGTAATATTTTGCGTAGAATACAATGACATTTATTGCTTTAAATTTTCCTAGTGCAAAAACAGAAAATTTTACCTTTTGACCTTCGGGGCCACAAAGGTGATTTAGCAAGTTTACATTTTTCTTGAAAGGGTGATTACTTTCAATCATTTTCAGCATGTTTTCATGATACAAGAATGGCGGCACATTAGTGATTAGTTATTACCACTCGGCAACGTATTCTATGCAAAATTTTACTAGAGAACTACACCTCCCCCGTGCCCCGGTACTGAAAATCTCGAACACTGATTAGTGATTAGAACTCAGCAACGTATTCTATTCAAAATTTTACTAGAGAACTACAATCCCCTTTCCCCCCACCCCCGCACTGAGCCTCCAGACTACTCATTTCATTATATTATTTTATGTAGGTCTATTTGCAAACATACCATGGTGAAGGTAGCTTGTTTTGTTACTAAAGAAAGCAAGTTACCAAGCCAAACTGGGTACTGATTGAAACCGTGATTTATAGGAGTGGAAGACAGTAATATATTGTGGTGTTTCTGTATATTTAAAGAATATTTCATAACTTGGTTTATTGTTTGCTATTAATACCTACAGCCTCTCATGGGACATTGATGAAAATTTATTAAACAAATCTAGCATTGAATCATAAAATGCATTATATTTATCAACCACAGATCAAGACTACTCTTCTGTGTGCTATACCAATAAAAAAAGCTAAAATAATTTGATTATTTGCTTAATGGTAGCATAGAACCTACACTTATTCTTGTGTATTTTCATTTAATCTGGTTGTAGGTTATCTAGTTTTGAATGAATTTCAAAATTTGAGTTCAATTAGCTTACATGCTCATAGTTTCAAATTAAATTTGTATATGAAATGAGAGAAATGACTCATATAACGATAAACATATATCATTCTAAAACCCCATGTTTATTTTATATATTTTTAAATATTTTTCCTTTTCATAAGAAATATAACCATATATCGAATTAATGCTGAAATTTACAACTTACAGTATATGCATTATTTCTGCAGATTTATTAAGATCCAATATTATTTCTTAATGTATGATTGTTTTACAAATATACTGGCTGACATATGATGATGGGATCTTGAACTTAAAATAAAGAAATACCGAAATTACACGAAATATAGATTTATTATTTGTTTTGTCATGGAATAAATTAACATTCCTAATAAGCCCTTTAAAGAAAATACATATGCAAAAAGCCAAAAGGACATCTATCATAATATCATTCGAGACATTTTCAATATTGACAATAAAAGTAATATACGTATATATCAGCATTATTCTGATGGTGGACTATATGAACACATCCTTATTTCTCAGTTCCCATTCCCTTCTTATTTCTTGTTTATTTTCAGAAACACTCACACAAACACACAAGTTAAGATTTTAACCTTTTACTCTGTAAAAATAAATAATATCTCATATTAATTTCTATTCATTAAAACATCCTCTTATATTTTAAATTAGTTGACCAAACCAAGACATTTATTTTTAATAACAATAATTCCTATGTTTTTTTGTGACCTTATGTGTCTAATGTGGTCATAAGAGAGATTCAATAATTTCGTACACTGCAAATTTTAGTTGTTTTTTTTTTAATTTTTTTATTTCAATTACAAGTTAAAAAGGGACAAAAGACTGTAGACAGCTAAAATAGATTGAGTGTGTGCTTTGGGCAGATAATTCAGAATTTGATATTGCCTGAGAAGTGGAGAACTATAGGAAGCTTGAGGTGTCAGACAGGATATTCAGGAATAATTCCCGAACAATTTTGGTTTTTCGGATAATTGTCATGTTAGAAATGCTTAAAATTACATCCATTGCAAATGATAAAGGAGTACTGAGATGTAGCTCACCATCATAAATCTTTCATATCTATAATATGACGATGTAAATCTTTCATCATACCAAACATTCTTACTCTTCTTCTTCCTAAATATAACAACACAATATAATGACAATAATATAAAATATAATGACAACAACATTTATGAACAAACAAACCATGAGCTCCCTATTGAAGAGAATAAATGGAATAAAAATAAGGTTTAAAGTCCTACTGTTACACTCCTACTGGGCCAATGAAGGCGGGAATACGTCATACAGTGTGCTATGTGGGAAATTTTGCCCAGACAGTGGCATTTATTTTTATTTTTCTATGTGTGATGTCCACAAAATGTTAACTGCGCCACTGAGCAGTATTTTATATTGGTAATAGGCGCATTATAAATAAATTATTATTATTATTACGACACTCTCTATACATTGTCCCATGCCAGGCCCTCCATCCTACACCATTGAACAGGGGGGAACAACGCCGAAATATCCTGAAGAACTTTCCTCGGCCAATGCAGGGATCAAACACGGGGCCTCCAAGTATGCAAGCCAACATCCTACTCACTGAGCCACTGTGCACCCCACCTCAACACTCCTGAACAGACTTGCAGTGACCTCCCTAGACTCATAAAACCTTAAGCAAAATTTTTAGCTGAATCAAAATTTTATTAGCCAATTCGGAAACTTGTAGCTAAATATTATACATGTATATCATTATTATACATGTATATCATTTTTTATTCCTGTGCTTGTTAATTAAAAATAAACATAAATGTTTAATATGTAGTTATTTAGTACACAAGAGTATTAGGCCTCATCAAATTAATGACAATGACATTGTCTGTCCCTGCCAGTAACTTTGTAGAAGAAGTATTGCCATATCTAGCCTTCCATTTGGGTAAATAACTACTTTAGTAGTCATTATTATAATGTGTGAAAGTTTGCTGTTTAGACGTGTGAATAAGAAAAAATGAAAAGTTGTAGCTAAGCGAAAGTAAACAAAGCGGCCCCACACAAAATGGACATAACTGTGTTTAAAAGTTTTAGTCTTGAGACTCGATCTTTCATTTGTTTTAATGCATAACTACTGACTAATTTGCTAAATATAGAAACTACATGAGTCAATTGTAAGAAGTGTTGAGTGAGACGATTTCAAGTTTAATATTAGCATATTTACGAAATAACACACTCTAAAATCCATTTGCAAAAACTTTTGCCAGTATCATCAATTTGATTGCCAATAAAAAGAATTACCGCCATTGGAGACTTAGCGATTGTCTAGAGTGGTCACTGGATGTGAGAGTGGAAGTATTATATATCTATTTAATTAAGAGTATATAATTTAGAATTTAGGGATTTTGGGGGGTTAATCCGTGGGGTTTCCACGATTCCAAATTATCTGCTCTGGCCTTGATTGTAGCTTGAGTCTACAAACCAATCAAAATATAGTTTTTAAACCAGTCATACTAATGAAACAGCCTTCCTTACACGTTTGTTTTTATAAGGGTAGATAACCCTATTCATGTCCACTTACTGAATGATTATCAAAATCTGTAGTATGTTTTGCTGATTTTAAATATGTATATATTTCACTTTAGTTATAATTATTACTATTCGTTCTTTGTCTGAAATGTTTCATAAACTACTAACATTCTGTTATGTTTATTGAACAACCAAAGGTACTCTTGCTGATATTCAAGTGTAAAGGTTTGAGTTTTGATATTACGAAACTGCCTAATCAAGATACCATTCTTAATAAAACTCTTTAACCTACATATATAAATACCAGTCTGGTCTTCATTAATATATAATATAAATATTGTAAATTGATGTTAACAAATATGCATTTAGCATAATTTGGCCTTCTCTCAGTTTTTACTTGGGGATACTTGAGGAGAATTAGGCTACTTTCTGGCTAATTCCTAACCTTGTCTCTCAAAGGGGAGCCTTTGCGTTTCGCTTACTTTACCTGATGTGAGTTACTTCTATTCGCCAACTTCCCTGGCAATTAACGATTTATGGGATTGGTCAATAAAAATAGCACAATCATCAAGGGCAGATAACTTGAATACATGCCCCCGACCCAGGGTTTAGTGGAGTGAAATGAAATGAGACCACTGTGGATACTGAGGATGATATATCAGTGACTATAACAAGAAATTTCTCTGTGGACGGCTCTTCTTAACAAAACCTAATCCTAGTTATGTACAACAATCTGAAACTATGTGGAAAGTTTTTTGCAGAAATACAAACTAGTAGTTTCCATACATGTAAGGTATACATGTAAATCTGTATTTCCCATGTTATCCCCTAGTGTATGGATAGCATTGTCTACAGTGATTGTTGTTATTACCACCCCACTCATACAATTTACCAATGGAATTCTTTCAATGAGTCACATTATGTTAGTCTGTTAAGCAAATCTAACAATAACTTTTCAATGCCTCAATATTTACAGTTGATATGGGTTATTTCTTTCAATTTTCAAACTTACTTCAATTTATTTTTATCAATAGGTATCCTGTTGTTTTAATGACTGACAGTAACATCAATCGTATTTTCACCATTTCTACCTTATTTCACTTAGGTTTTTGTTTATCTTCAAGCTATAATACTCACCGAAAACTTTCTTAAGTTCATCATCACATAACATAAACTGTTTATTTTTAGGATCCTGTAAAACAAATCAACTTGAAGTAGCCTGTATTCTTGACTTTAGATAAAATTCAAATAAGTTTAAACAAGTATGAGCGTACTATATGAACAAGGTACTCAGCATGACGTCATTGCAGCCATCTTTGAAATGTAGCGTCATATGAAAAAACATAGTACAAAGAACAAGCATACAATCTAATGCTGGCACGATATATCGTTGAATCGATGTACCATGATTCACATATTAAATTGTCAGTAAGTAAACTGTCAATGTTAATCATCCACATCACATAGGTACACAAACACTCCTAAATTGATCCACATCAATATTGTGATAAAGAACAGTTTTATTTTTTCAACATTGGCAGGACTAAAAATGTTAATTATTCATTTACGCTGTTGTTTTCTTGATAAATATTGACCTGATAATGAATGGTGATACCAATCGCATCGTAGCACCTGAACCGCAATACGTATCGTATCTGCAGTGGCAATACCCAACTCTGGTAGAATGGTTAGACTGTTGCTTCTATGGATTTGCAACAACTGTTATGTTATGAAAGTAATTTTGTTTTACTAACTGTGTTATTGATATGCAGATGTAAATCAATGTTTTTATGAATGGGGAATTAAGTCTGCCCAAATTCTGACATTTGGCTATATACCAAGTGATCAAGTCTTACAGCTTGATGTTGGATGTGTCATAATTGCCAGATAATTATAATCAAAAAATATCCCAATGTAAAAGTGGACAATCTACCTGCAAATTTCTTGCTTTTGCTATTTCCCACATTTTTTTCACAACATCAGAGCGGGGTAGCTATAAAAGAATAAACGTAACATTTAATAGCCAGAAGAAGAAAAAAACGTGAACAATCATATATATACAAATGAAGTGATTGTAAAATTAATATTTGATTTTCATCTTAATCTTACATATAAAATAAAATGAAGCTATTATTGTAAGTTCTGTTGCCGTTTTTTTGTACAGGTGTGTGTGTGTGGGGGGGGGGGGGGAGAATGGTTAGCATGTGCACACTGTATTATAAGGTCTGTCATTAGTCAACTGGTGTGGTTTCGATTCCCCAGTTGTACGTAGCAAGGAGTAGGGTCACCTGTCCAAACTCATGGGTTTTCTCCGGGTCCTCCGGTTTCCTCCCACTGCTAAAGACCCTGATTGTACGAAAAAAACTTTTTAGCTTGTTTCCTGTCCATCTCTTGAAAATGTGGGCGTATCTTGCATGTCAACTGCTTGATCTTTAAAAAATAAACCAATCGCAAGAAGTTATGTTTGAATTTGGAACTAAAATCCTGTCATATTTGAATAGATAGACATTGAATAAACAATACCTGATCTGCTCCTACAATAGCTGCTAATTCTGCTGATAATTGACATGGCTTGGAATATGTGCTTTTTCCTAAAATTACAAAACTATATTACATGTAGACAAATGTATAGATAATCTCTTTTGGACGTAATGTGAGTTTGATCTCAAACAGTAAATAAGACACCAGGTAAATTGAAATAATGATTTATGAAAGTCATTTTAACACAATGTGAACAAAACAGGGACAATATCCATACTCGGTTTGAATCTATAATCTTTTTTTTTGGTTTCAAGTCTTCAATGACTAAACAATAAATAATTATAAAATAACAACATAAAATAATAAAATCATGCTGGCTGTTCAGATCCATTACCAAACACCAAAGAAGTTGCTTCTTCTTCATTTGATGATTGTCATGTCTTGCTTATGTATAAGATAATTTATGGTAGCATCACCGAGCACCAATTAGGTATTGGAATTCAGGTGCTGCATAATAAATGAATTATTACAGTATAATTTCACATGTCAATTCCAACAGAAGTTTGCCCCTCCCCCCACCATTTAAATCAACTATATAAAGTAAGAAATACTTTACAATAAACTTTTACTCACTTTTCTTATCTGACTTGACTTTTGGTGTCTTTGGTTTTGTGGGTTTCTGAATAAATGATAAAAGATTTACATTGAAATACTATATATCTAAGTTGAATATCTCCCCAGCAATTATATAGAAGGAAACCTAACCTATAAGTGGTTTCCAAGAAGCTTGAAGAATGCATATGCGAAATGCTTCCTTCAAAAGTAGATCAGTGCTTGGAGTTTTCATATAAGACTTAATTAGATATTATATATATGTTTTAACCCTTAACCGGTCGACGTCATTTTGATGTTATGACGTCAACTGGTCAGGCTAAATAAAGGCTGATGTAAAATATTTTGTATGCCTATTTCAACCGACTACTGCCGAATAATTATAAGTGATAAGACTCTTGACACCAATATAAAAGTTGCTGGGGATAAGTTGATCTATAATTTGCAAATCATTCTAAATCCTTTTCATCAGAAATATCGTCTTCAGAATCGGTGTCATCGATATAATCCGATTCGGAATAATTCATAAGTATGTCAACCACTTCGAGCGTCTTTAACGTTCCCGACACCGTTAAATTACGTTTTTCGTCAAAAAATGTTGAACAAAGACATGTTTTTCTCAATGCCCTTGACAAGACAAGTTCCTGTCTGACACGCATACATGGCCATATCAATTAAATACGAAACTAAATACTCAAATGCGGCTTTTACCGTGACCACTTAGCTGTATAACGTTATGGTGACTATAGTCGACAATGACCGATTAAGGGTTAATTGGGCACAATTTGAAACATTTATTTCCACCTTTTACAGTTTATTCTATCTAGTTATTTTGTATAAAATCTATACAATTGTTTTCTTAGTCATAATATTCATGTAATGTTAATCTATAATGTTTGTATTCTAGCACCTATGTAAATTATAATATATTGTAAATCTATAGCAGTTATATTCTAGTTGTCATGTAAATTATAACATATTGTAAATCTATAGAGTTTGTATTCCAGTTGATATATAAATTATAATATATTGTAAATCTATAGCGGTTATATTCTAGCATCTATGTAATAATATATTGTAAATCTATAGAGGTTGTATTCTAGTTGTTATGTAAATTATAATATATTGTAAATCTTACAGGTGGTCTTCTTGAGCCTCTTGTCCTGCCTAATTCTTGTTGTTGTAATTGTTTAGCAAACTCTTCATCATTTACAGCAGTTATTTTCTAAAGAAAAAATCAAACAGCATTAACTTTAAGAAAAATAAATAATGACGCCTAAGTGAATTCTTAATTATTTTCTGCTGTTTAATTGCAGAGTATTTTGTTCATTTACAACCCTCAATGTTCCCCAAACCTCCTAACCATTTGCTCAAGAAATAACAACCACTCCCTGAGTCATGCTAGCACACAATAAGTGGGCAGACAACAGTTGGGTTGCCAGTTAGTGATACCCTGACATTTTTGCCCAGTGCTTGCCCCAAGGTTGTTTGTCCGGTAACCCAGTATTTTTCTAGTAAGATTGAGATTCTATACTTTCCATATATACCAAATTTGCCATACTTTTATTGGAAGTAATCACCCAATAAAAACGTTTGGGACAATGTATCTTTAATGATAATACCCTTCACTTTACAAAGGTTTGCTTGTCTATAAAAATTGCTGACATGTTATAGACAATACACGCCCAATATCTAAAGCACAAGGTAGCATAATGAAATCCAATTCTTGACATAATGCACATGTATCAAAACATTTTACATAAGTGAAAAAGATAAGAACGGAAAATAAAACTCTACCTTTGAAACTTTTTTTTTCTTTCTGACTGGTCCTTTGTCAAGCTATTAAAAGAAACAAGTTTATAAATCTATAGTCAATAAACCAACAGTATCCCACCTCTATCCAAAAATAAACAGATGATAATCATTAATTACTCACACATTTATCTTTTTTAACATCAAGCAATCATATTATTCACATAATTCACCACTCGTCTTAATCTGAGTAGGAAATGATCATTATCAATTTTAATTAAGATATTTATGTAATGAATTAAACACAAAGATCCATCACTTTCTTTCGATTAGTTATCATGTTACAAAGCATCAACAAATTAATCAAACTATTCATCACTTTTAATCCTAAGCAATAAATACCTATCATTTGTCCCAATTACTACATTCACCTACCTACAATGTACTTAACATCTACACCAAGTTTGATCATTTTATCTTTATTAGATACAGGTTAATTGTGTTCAAAAGACTACACCAATTTAGTTGATGTAATTAAATTAAAGACCAAGTTTCATCACTCTCCCTCAATTACCGATAGAATCAGATCAGTCACCGCGATTCAAAGCATTGACAATTCAAATTGCTCATCACTCTCACTCAATCGGAGGACTGAGGAGAGCAATAAAATATGCATCTCGATTAGGATTCAGGTGCATGAGCAATTGAGTGCAGAGCAACAGCTCGCCTCAAACGTGAAGGCCTGTAACTTGTAAGATGATGTTTATAAAACATAGCCGTCATAAGAAGAAGATTAGGCGTAGATCTTTGGCAACTAACGATTCCTAACAACCCACCACCAATACATATGTACTTCAGTGATTGATTGGTATAGTGAATTATACAAGCTACATTTTTTTATCAATGATCACCTACCACCATGTCATCATCATCTGATGAAGACATTGTTGAATCCGCACTGTTGTTCTTTGATGTTCCATTGGCAGCAGGACTTTCACTTTCAGAATCTTCTCCATTTTGAGTCTGTGATATTTGTTCCATTACCATTTTATCAATTTCTTGTTTTCTGTCACAATGAAAAGATTAAAATCACAACAAATTATTAAAATTATTAAGTAAAAACTTATATATTTAAATGTGGAATATTGTATACAGACACGAGAAATAAAAAGATTTGTATGGTACCTCATTGATTCACTCTAATTTTTAGTGTTCTACAGTTTCAATTCTGATATGTATTTAAAAAAAAAATAGGCTGATGTGGCATTATTCATATGTTTCCAAGGGACCCCTTGAAGAAGTGATTCTTTATTAAATGTATGTATATGTACACAGCTTTTATAACCATCTCTTGTGTGAATTAGAATCAAATTTCTTAAATTTTTCCTGTAACATACTCAAAGTCATTTCATCTAGTGCACTGAACAGATGAGCTCTCCCTTGATAAAAGCAACTCTCAACTAGAACTCCAAGGAGTACTGGCTTGTTACGGTAGGTCAGATCACGCCTTGTCACGTCAACAATCAAGTTAAACCAACGATATGGGCAATCTGAGATTATTTTTTGTTTGCCAAAAATGACCCAATTTATATTTAATGTATAGTTCTGACGGTGGAGGCCAACAAAATCTACGTTGGCAGAATGTTTGCACCATGTACAATTTTGACAGCAAACTCTGACTAAATTTCCCCAAAAAACAAAATAATAAAAAAAAAGATCCGAAACATGTAAATATAGGCAGATGAACCACCTTTACATATTAACAACACTTTTATTGGACATACATGTTTTTAATAATATCATGTTTTTAATAATAAAATTAAAATGTGACCAATTCTTAAAAAATGTTAACATGTTTTGTTTTTTTAAAGTTAAGAATTCAATTTATGAACTATGGCTTAAACAATTTTTTAAATAGACATGGCCCACCCTATGATGTTGTCATTGGTGACTCAAGGAAAGATAGGTTGCCAGGCTACGAAACATACACATACAGCAGCCAAGTTATCTGGGCCGTCAACAAGTGTTGTCGCATAATTTTTCAGTAATGAGAACATTTACAACACATGAAAATGTGATTAAGAGTAATAAGCCATGAAGTAATTATCAGAAAACATTAGAATTTGTTTTGATTGTTTGTCTCATGAAAGCGGGACTTATATACCCACTGAGGAATTTACAAACGAGTTGAGTTAAGGTCCAAAATTTATTCGAAAAATGTATATAAAGTAAGATTGTGATATCTGTAATAAATTATTGTTTGTTCCAGGTTATACTCCGACTCGAAAATTGCTTGTTATTTCTTCATTTTTAATTAAAATGGCTAAAACTTTGTGACATACCTGGAATTTTCACCCCTTTGATTTCTTGTAAATTTCAGATATTTCGACATTGTCTCTTTCTCAGAACATAAACATTACGGCTCCGTTAAATAGAACACTTGCATATCGCATTACGGTAGACAGGTACTTTACAAATTGGGAGCATTCGGTTAGAAATGTTTAGTGAAGGAGAATTCACCCGTTTGTTTCGCGACAATAATACTTATTAGGGTTTCACACTGTGAAGCTTGTATTAAATAATATTGTTTTTGTTCAGATTATGTTTTTTTTTTCCTTTCCACCTTGCTTATTTCGAAGAAAAATGCTTATTGGATCACTAGCAGTGACTTAACGATTAAAGCTTTTTGAAAAGTTCACGCTTCCCGTCATTAGAAAGATCTCTGTTTTCTGAACAATTTGATATCAATTTCATGTAAGCAGGATTACTAGGGGCGAAGTTATGGATTTTTAAAGTTTGAAGGTCAGCCGAAAAGGCCCAAATTTTGGGATGCCCATGAAGGGGCTCCATGGGGGCCCCCAACGCTAAAATTTTGCACATCACGTTTTTTCGTCATGGTTAACTTGCTCACCAAAAATCATCAAAATCTGTGATGGTCATGTCAGAACCTTGTGTACACTTGATGTGGAATCCCCCTATTGTTATGTACAATTTCAAGATAAAAAAAAAATGCAATAATTTATGTCAAGCAATGTATCAAGCAATTATATAGTTATTTTAGAAACGTAAAACAATGAAATATAAACGAAATAAAAGTTTTAAAAAAAGATTGCCTATGTTCTAAATATACAGTAAATTCTGTACTTCGGGCTCTACAATACCGGATAGCAAATTAAGGATGGTTAAAAACTGTTTACCAAAATTAGATAAATTTGACCAGACCAGTTAGAGACCATCCACAAACTACACAGAAATGGCTAGTAGTATGTAAGTTAATTTCTTTTAAAGATGAATTATGTAAGAGCTACATTTGCTTATAGAATGTCTTTCTTTAGGCCCCAAATGTTATTTAAATTATCAATAATTGAATTAGACATTTATTCACATGACCAGTACATAATCAACTCTCTAGATCAGTGATTCTCAACCAGCGTGCCACGACACATCTTCCTAAGTGTGCTGCGGAATTTTGAACAGCACACTAAGAAAATGCGAAAAACCACATGATCCCAAATGAGTATTCACTAGTGTCAACTGATAAGTTCATCTCTGTGTTTTTCTTTATTTACTTCGAGTCAGTCTATGTGTCTATGACTAGTCTCTGTCTACGGTTGCATGCCGTCTGACTTGCCAGGTTTTTATTTTGCTAAATTCAAAATATTTTTCATATGCATTTAGCCAGGTGTGCCGCTATGTTTTCATGGTCGCAATGTTTAATGGAGTGAAACAAGATAACAATATAATAATTAAATTTAACCAGCGGCTGCCAGGCAGGAAACACCCACATTTTGCAAAAGATGGATAGAGAACAAGCTGAACAAAAAGCAATTTTTCGTACAATCAAGATCCATAATTCATGAAGTTGTTCCGATAATGATATGCGCAAATATCGACAGGAACCAAGATCTTTGGGTTATAAAGTTATTTCAAGTTTCATCAAAATCGTGACTTCTAGAGGGTCCACAACCTTGATACATGTATACCATATATTTACACTATTTGCGTACGAGTGGTGGCCATTTTGTCCGGCAGTTTTGGTCCAATTTTCACGAAATTCGAACTCAGCTATCATTAGGGTGTAACAATGAAATATTCAAACTTTTCTTTCAGTTGGATAAAAATTGTGACCTCTAGAGGGACTACAAGCTATAAATGCGATTTTTTGTACAATCAAGGGCCATAATTCAAGAATTTAAAATTTGATATGCGCAAATATAAAAAATAACCAAGATCTTTGGGTTATAAACATGTATTTCAAGTTTCATCAAAATTAAATTAAAATTGTAACCTCTTGTTTGTCCACAAGCTAAAAAGGTGATTTTTCGTACAATCAGGGGCAATATTCCATGAAGTTATGGTCCGATATATGCCAATATCGAAAGGAACCAAGATCTTCCGGAGATAGACCAATATTTTAAGTTTTGTCAAAATCGAATAAAAATTGTGAACAGTAGAGTGTCTCATGACTGTAAACACTGTGAATATATCAGATATTAACTTTAGCCTCTAGAGCGCCGACAAGATTCTTCAAAGTGATCAAGGGCCATAAGTCAATCGGATATTAACTTTAGCTTCTGTACAGTGTCTACAAGATATGTCAAAGTGATCAAGGACCATAACCCTGGCAGTAATTATTGGAAATCGTTGAAAATCAATAGGATTCTTCATCTCATGACCTTAAACACTATGTATCAATCAGATATTAAGTTTAGCCTCTAGAGCGTCCACAGGATTTTTCAAAGTGATCAAGGGTCATAACTCTGGCAGTAATTATCGCAAATCACTGTAAATCAATAGGATTCTTTGCCTCATTACCTTAAACACTGTGTATAAAATTTGAAATTTAAAGTCAATCAGATATTAACATTAGCCTGCTCTAGAGTGTCTACAAGCAATTGTGGATGCCACACCGGCGGATGAAGTGACAGGCGGGGCCAACAACAATATATAACCACATTTCAATGTGGGCGTATAAAAACCACAAATATTGAAAGTACCGTAATTTGAAAGGGCACATTATATTATGTCCTTTAATTTTAAAATAGTAAGCAGCATGAAATTATATCTGATTTTTACACTCACATGACAATTAAAGCAAAATCAAAATCACATGGCAATTATTCACGACACCACATTTATTTTTATTGTTTGTGTTGCCAACATCAGATAATGTTCGATCAGAAATGGCCATGGTGCTGATTTTATAATCAAATATTTTAATAACAGCAAATTATGTTTAAAATCTATAAAAATTTAAATATATCAGTTTAATAAATAGGAAGGAATACGAATTAAATACTTGTCCGTTAGATCTGCCTAAAACTTGACTTCCAAAATTAAAATCACGTGGCAATCATCATTCACAACACCACGTTTATTTTGTTGTTTGTGTTGCCAACATCATAAAAAATGTTCTATCAGAAATCGAAATTGGTGCCGATGTTATAATCAAATTATTCAATAACAGTAAATTATGTTTAAAATTTATAAAAAATTAAAGATATCAGTTCAATAAATAGGAAAGAAAATGAATTAAAAACCTGTCTGTTAGATCTGCTTCAAACTTGACTTCCAACATCTTTCTAACTTTCTTCGCTGAAAGAGTGTCCAAGTCGGCATCTTTCAATATTTCTGTAATGCGAATAAAAGATGCTATGAAATATTTGCATAAAGGGCATTATATATTTCCGAATAATTTCAGAGCTTTTGAGATCATAAAAGTAATACAAAATTCTCTAAATTATCACCTTTTATGCCTATTTTCAGATCGGCTGTATTAATTTCCGCCATGTTGAAAAATTCAGTAAGGGACATAACTCTAATTAACGAGGCGGGGTCGCACCACAATTCATTTCTACACAGGAGTGAATTAATTATAAAATTCACTCTAGATATATTTTCAAACCATTCCGTGGATATAAAATTTAAATCCACGTACCACGCCTGTTTACAGATTCTTCATGTAAAGATATTAAAGTCAAGCAAAATGGGAGAGAAAAAAATAGTTATTTAAATAAATATACAGAGATGAATCTACATAGAACTAGGCCTACTGCTTAGCATAACAATGCACTTTCAATTTGGATATATCGCCTATCTCAATTTGTTAGCTATCATGTTCAAATTAGGTTTGTGCGCAAATAGCTAACTGAGATAAATGTTTTTTATATTCAATTTACTCGATTTGACTGTCATCTTCAAATCAGCCTGATAAAAACACAGATCCTATTTTGTTTCGTTTTTTTATAGTTCACAATTTCGTTTTACTTGTCTTTACTACACTAGGATCGGACAGAGTTGTTATATGATTGATGTGAGGGATTAGCCAATGAATACATCTTATATGGCGAGTTCGATCGGCGTGTGGTACCCGGAACTGCGGGTATCCCACTAGAAACATCAACGCTGATTGGTTAATCAAATGTCTGACGTCATAGGGTCTAAATTAGTTCATTTGTCCCCTAACGCCACTACAACGGGTCAGATATTCATGTAGTGGAGGCTATCGAAAGTATAACAAACGAAACGAAATACATAGATCTGTATTTTAATCAGATTGTGTTCAATGCGTTAAATCTGAGAAAAATCCTCCCATGAATTGCTAATAAGACATTTTTTAACATTCAATTTACGAATCTTACACATTTTCATGTTCAGCTGTACTAGTAGATTTTCGATAATTGGATGAGTAAATGCTATTTTTAATTGGTCCAGAGTGTCTGACTCTTTCTCTTACCTTGGTGACTTAAAGCGGCATTATGGAAGATTAGATGACGAGCCGATAGTTCTCGCTATAATAGTTTTAAAAATTGATAATGTAAAGGGGGTATGCTGAAAATTTCGTTAAATTACTTCACTCTGGGCCGAAAAATCCCAATTTCAATAACACTGTAGCCTTGATTGCCATTGCTACCGTTGTTACGATAACAAACAAAGTCTCGGTTATCCACTTTTACGTTAATCATCAACCGACGTTGAAACGCATATCGGATTCAAATCTGTTGAAAATAGGACCTATCAGATGGCATCGAGAGTTGATTATGGCCTTGCCATGTTATTAATTAAATGTCTATAAGTTTATATAACATTTCAGGTCTAAAGGCAGATCTGTAATATGCAATTTTAGCCCTCGCATTTACCTGTTTAAATGCAATTATGGTTGCTGCCCAGTTGATATTTATGTGAGCTTTGTTGTGAATTTTCACGGCAAATCTTTTTTGTTAGATATAGGAACTGCACAAACAAGAAGTGGTCTCATCTGTTCTAAGTCTTATTTAAGAGCGTGTCCACGCAGAATTAAATAAAAATCCCGATAACCCGTGTGTGTGTGTGTGTGTGTGTGTGTGGGTGTGGGCGGGGGGGTGGGGTGGCAGAAATTCTCAGTTATGCTTGGTCTATGGCGACCCCTATGCGCAGAAGTCACACGATGCAGTGATTTTTTTTTAAATGACAACTTCCGGTATAACTGTAAATTTTTGTTTTGTGGCAAAATTTGCCATATTTCGACCAAATTTTTTCCCCTATTTTCAAAACACTCCTACTCAAAATGTTCTGCCCCTAAAAAATTTATACTGGTCAAGTATGACAGGCATAGTGGTCGACTTAAAATCCTGCATTCGTTTGGGAATTTATGAATCGTGAGGAATTTTACATGTCTAAAACTATGTCACCCTGAAACGTTTGTAGCTACTTCTTTGCAGGTCTGATATAACATTGATTGGTGTGTTTGTGGAGGGCATTCGTCAAAGTAAATGTCAGAAGAAAAAACACTGACCGGAAATCAACGCACCAGGGTGCTGCAGTACCCTACTCGGAAAATGCATAGAAACGGTATTTTCGACGCGATTCGCCTTTTCAGTGATGACTGACGATTATTTTCAATAGTTCAAATGACCGCCTATTATCAACATTAGTACTATATTGTGTTATTTGAACGTTCCTTGTGCCTTATACGTTATTTTGGTTAAAAATCATAAAGTGTTTGTGACAAAATCGGACGTTCACGGTCACTGTAGGAAAGGAGCGTAACTGGTGTATCATTTTGCAGGGTGAGGCCATGATTATTCTCATCTGTATTCAGTAGTTGAATATATAAATCTATGGACATGCATGGCAAGATTTTATATCAGCGGAATTTAACCATGATTAGGCTAGTCATATGTTACTCTTTAATCTATTACTTAAGTCAGGTACATTCCCCCACTCATGGGGTGAATCTTTTATCATACCAATTTATAAAAAAGGAGACAAACTTGACACAAACAACTATAGGGGTATTGCCCTTGCAAGTTGCCTAAGCAAATGTTTTCTCTCCATAATAAATAAACGTGTAACCGATTATGTTGAAGCACACAGCCTTATTGACGCAGCTCAGTGTGGTTTTAGAGAAAGCCACAGAACAGTGGACAATGTTTTTATTCTGAAAACCATAATAAACAAGCATAAATGCATTAAAGAAAACCTGTTCTTCTGTTTTGTGGACTTCTCAAAAGCCTTCGACAATATCTGGCGAAAAGGTCTATTTCTGAAACTTCTAAAACATAACATCTCTGGCAATATATTTAACCTCATATACTCAATGTATGAAAACACCTCGTATAGAGTCAAAACTACCGATGGGCTTTCTAATTCAATAATTTCAAATATGGGTGTAAAACCAATTCTGATAACGATGCACCCACTCTAGATAATACCAAAATTTCACACCTTCTCTTTGATGATGATTTAGTTCTGATTTCCTGTACAGATATTGGTCTTCAAAAGAGTCTAAACTCCTTGGGACAGTTCTATTCTGACTGGAAATTAGATGTAAACACAGATAAATCTAAAATAATGCTCTTCTCTAATAATAAGAAAAAAATTAATAAAAGGTTCCATATTGGAATTCATAACATGGAAAATGTAAATACGTATGTGTATCTGGGTGTATGTATATCCAACAACTCTAGCTTTAAACAGGCCATGTCAGACTTAGGATAAAAAGCGAAAAGAGCCTGGTACAGTATAAGAAATAAAGTTTGCACATCTGACTATATTCCTACCGACGTCTTGATCAAACTGTACCAGGCCATTATCAAACAAATAGCAACTTATGCCTCCGATATATGGGGAGCTGAATTGATGCACAGCAAAAAATTCGCAGTTGAAAAATGGGACAAAATTAATCTAAACCAACTAACTATAAAAATATGCAAGTCCATTTTGAATCAACCACTTAAATCGACCAACCTTGGATTGCGTAACTAGGAATCTTCCCGCTAACGTTAGACACCTATACCCGCATGCTTATGTATCATAAAAGGCTAAACGATGTTAGGATGAAACAAATATTTCCTCTTCTTTCAGCAGCCTATACTGAAGATAAAACTATATCCTCTAAAAATGAAAAATTATCTTGGTCAGCCGCAATCAATAATTTAACTTCGAAACTCCAAATAAATCATGTTCATTTGCTAAATAAAGAAAATATAAAGAAATTCCTCGAATCAAAATTTAACTCCTTCTACCACATATCTTCTAACTCCAATAACAGCAAATTACGTACATATTTCATCTCAAAACCTACTGTTACCAACTCTCCAGACTATTTATATTCGGTTAAAAATAGAGATCATAAGAAAGCTATGACCACACTTAGACTCAGTACGCATCACTTAGAAATAGAGAGGGGACGATACAAAAAAATTCCTGTTGATCAGCGTCTATGCAAATTTTGCGATTTAAATTCGATCGAAAACGAGCAACATTTTTTGCTATACTGTAGCAAGTATGAAGAAATACGCCAAGCCCATTTATACCCAGCCTTCTCGGCAAATCCTAAGATTTCCTACAATTTTATTAATCTCTTTACACCACCAAAATTGATTGCCAAGGCAGTGGCTTTATATGTGTTTTTGGCTTTTGATAAGAGAGCTAAATCAAATATGGTGGCAACTACATGTAACTGAAACCCCTTCCATTCACTTGATTTGTGATATTTGTTTATTTGGTGCAATGTCTATCTTCTGTCTTGTCCGCAGGTTTATCTTGTAGATTTTTGTTTTGCATGTAGTGCGGTCCTCCTGCACTTACTATTTGATATACATGTACAGTTGAACATGTAGTATACTGTTTGTATGAATGTATTGAGTTGTCTATGTAATATATATTATTGAATGTATATGACTATGTCTAAGTGTATATGTATGCATGCTGTCCTTCATGGACGTTTTGATGCAATAAACATCTATCTATCTATCTATCTATGTTAATTCGACTGTCAATAAACCCTTGTCAACTGGTGGTGTGTATAGACAGTGATATTGTATAGACAGTGATATGATATTCTATAGATAATTTATATGTGTATCCCTTTGACGTCACCAGCCAATCAAACGGATTGAGGGTGCAACTGAAAAATTGAAAAGCGTTTTTGGGTGTCCGATACTTAAACGTTAAAGTAGCTAAGTCTCTAACTCAATATCATCCAAAACAATCGACAATGAAAACACGAATTATTTGTCAATTTTAATCAACATTGGTCTTGTGATCTTACAGGGAAAAGATGGGCTTCTGATATACAATATTTAAGACAAAATAAACATTTTACGATTGGTACCATAATGCGTTTCCGCGTCATTTGTAACAAGTGAACAGAAAGAACGAGGTTAGACATATTCCACAAGTCATGTCAAATGGTGACCACATATTCTTCTCCGGAGAGCATGCGCAATAAATACTATCGGTGTAGACTGGAATAACCAGACGCTAGAGATTGCCATTCGATTGAGACGTCTGGTGTATTTCGCCGAACATAACTGCTTTGAAATTAGAGTAAAAACGGAAACCCATTTGTGTCAATTTGTAGGCCCCAAATATTAACGATTTAGCCCCTTTTATATGTCGAATAATTTTAACCGGATTGATGTGAACTTGCCGTAATGTGTATATAGTAACCACTGGCTATAAGTACATAAAATCTAGTTTTATCGTCTTATGTAGTCTTTAAGCAATATTATTAACAACATCATTAATTACAGTTAAAGTTAGATATTTACATATTAATGCATATAACCAAGTATTTATATTTACCTTATTGTGTAAATGTTTGAAGGTTTTAAAATCTCATTTATTTTGATGTGGAATTGATATTTTTTTTCTTTAAAATGATATTTCATTCGTTTGACTTCACTAGGTCACCATAAAGGATGTAGTCTACAATCAAGTAAGATAATGGTAAATGGTTGTAAATAACGGGTGTTCAGCTTCTAAAGTACAAAAGAAGCTGGTAGGCGCGGTGGCTTGATGCGTAAGACGTTGGCTCGCTAACTTTAAGGTACAGTGTTCGATTCCGGTGTTTTCTGAGAAAGTTCATAAGAATTTCCTGGCGTTGTTCACTTCACCCTTGTCAGTGGTCTCGGAAGGGACAACGTATAGTTTTTCGGACGGGACGAAAAGCCGAGGTCCGGTGGACACATTGACGTGCACACAAAAACCCCATTCATAGTTGGAATTCGATATAAGAGTAGGCCGTAGTGTCGCTGTCCGTCTTTATTAGCCCAGTCGGTGCAGAACAATTGGACGTTAAACCTGATTTAACATTTTGTTTTATTTCATTATAGGGGATCACGTGGCTAAGTGGGTAAGACGCTAGCTCGCTAGCCTGGAGGTCGGGTGTTCGACCCCTGCATTGGCCGAGAAAGTTCATCCAGATTTTCCGGCGTGGATCTCCCTTGTCAGTGATGCAGGACGGAGGGGCTGACAAGGAAAGCTGTCTAGTCGTTCGGATGGGACGAAAAAACCGAGGTCCCGTGTACACATTGGCGTGCACGTAAAAGATCCCTTGGCAGTTGGAATTCGATATAAGAGTAGGCCGTAGTGCCGCTGTCCGGGCAAAATTTCCCTCATAGCACACTGTATGACGTATGCCCGTCTTCATTAGCCCAGGTTAGGAGCAGAACAGTAGGACGTTAAACTCCATTTCATTTCATTTCATTTCATTTATTTCATTATACTACACTACATCTTATTTTGCAAAGAAAGCGGTGACGTGGAACATAGACAACCCATGTCCAACGTTCCCACCATCGCTATTATAATAATGAACACACAATGATTTCACTAGCTATTCCCACAGTAATACGCAGTAGCTATTTCCATATTTTAAATCTGACCCACCAGTTTCAATAATTATGCTTTCATGCGTTATCTACCTAGCGCAGTTACCAATGACAACGTGCTCATTTTTATTTAGTCTTGTTTTGTAACACACAACAAAAGGGTTTTAAAAAGTGTGGTTTTCAACGATTTTACAGTGATTATATCTTTGCATGTGGATTATTATGGCGATACCCTTTTCGTTCTTAATCAAACTTCTTTAATATAAAGCTATAAAGAAAGCTAATTAGAAAGCTAACCAGTGAAATCAAACTCATAATTCAAAGCTCAATTTCAGTTCCAATTGTAATCCAGCTTTAAACAACTGCGATAGGTTAGTATGGAGAAAAAAGATTTAAAGACGAACACAGAATTGGATGCAGAACAGAGAAACACATTATTGGACAGCAAATTAACTAAAACAGAAAGAGGACATTGGGGCAGCCATCTGGAGTTTATTTTTTCTTTGATCGGATGTTGTGTTGGCCTGGGTAATCTCTGGCGTTTTCCGTATATTTGTAATCGAAATGGTGGGGGTAAGTCTATAATAGAGTATATTTATTGAATTCCATAACATTTCATATCTAAGGGCCGAAGACTGTCCATTATGTAAATAGAAAGAACAACTGAGGGGCGTTAGCCCCGAAGTTTTTCTTTGTATTTACATAATGGACAGTCTGAAGCTATTATCAAACTTAAAACATGGCACCATAGAGATACAAATAATGGATAGTTTTCTAAAACAACAAGCCATAAAATAATGGATATATTCTTAAAACAACATGCACGTGCTCATGAATGCATGTGACAAAACACTCCAGTCATACAATGCAAGCATACACAGACAGTCCAAAATATTCGACATGGAGACGACATGTTTATAACACAGTCGAAAACAAATATTAATAATGAGAATATATGTGATAAGCATTTGGATACTGATTACATTGGTAATGTACTCGATAGGGAAGATAATAGCCGTAAAATTGTGATGTTCTTGATATTGGGGAATAATAGCCGCCAAAGTTGTAATGGAAAGGATGCTCACGAGAATGAGTTAGATTTGATAATATTCTTAGTACTGTGGTTAATATGGAGGGTACTAGCCGTCCAAATTTTGATTTAAAATTTAATATATACTCTGATATAAGTAGGAGACATGACTCAGGGTCAATGACACAAACCAATTCACGAAATTCAAACTCAACTGTCATTATGGTGTAACTGTGATATATTTGAACGTTTTTTTAAAATCGGATAAAAATTGTGACCTGTATAGGTTCCACAGGCTCAAAACACGTTTTTTTTTGTTCAATCAGGGGCCATAATCCAGGAAGTTACGGTCCGATATGCGCCAATATCGCAAGGAATCGAGATCTTTGGGTTATAAACACAGTTCAGTTTCATCAAAATTGGCTAATAATTGTGACCTCTAGTGTGTACAGTCAGGGGCCCTAATCCATGAAAGTACGGTCCCATACAAGCCAATATCGAAAGGAACCGAGATCTTTGGGATATATACCTATATTTCAAGTTATGACCTGTAGAGTGTCAACAAAGGTGTGAAAATGTGGGAGTATAAAAACGTAATATTGATCTAGTGCCGAACGTACTATTAAACGGACAAGTGACATATAACGGACGGATTTAAGTGGATTCTTTATTAGACCGGGAGCCCAGGGGGTCAACCTAGCTGAAAAGTGTTTTTGTAATACCTGAAGATGTACGGTACACTGCAGTAAGATTTTCATGTGGTACACTTTTGAGCTAATCTAGAATAGTTGGGGGCATGGCATTTTGGGCGTGGAATACCACACCCACCACCAGAATCCCGGCAGACTTACATTCTGATGATACCAGATATACACACATTGATACCATAAAGGAGAAAATTGGTACACTTTTCAGCTAGGTTAGACAGACACGTGAAATCAACATTCGGTCATGTGACATTTCGGTAACTATGAGGTTTTAAAGTAATTTCATGTTCAGAGAATAAATTATCCCAAAATACATGTTCATAAGTGTCTATTATTGGTAAACCTGTCCATTATTTTCAATAAATAATGGACAGTTTTATAAATAATAGACTTTTGTTTAAGAAAAGTGTACATTCTCCTATATACTGGTTAAAAACGTCATATCTATGTTTTAAATATTACTAGATCTGCCAGACAGATATGAACAATTTCATATTCATCGTCACAAGTCAATGAGTCTTATAAGAGTCTTATAAAGAAAATAGGCCAAATACTTACGAAGTTGTAGCGAGAAACCGCTCAACTGGGCAAAGTTTCCCAATAGATTTTACGAATTAAATAGGCCAAAAACTGGCAAGTCATAACGAGAACGTCTTAACCAGGTATTACTTCCCATCATAGGTTATTGATTTTGTCAAGTATCTTAAAGAAAAAAAGAATTATTAACTAAGTTTTAACGGTAATCATTTCAACCGAGCAAAATATCCCATTTTAAAAGTTGCACAGAACCATTGTTTACCAAACGATTTTCAAAATAAGCACCAAATGACCCACTTAACCGTCTGCGATCAACAATTGACCATTTTTATACGCCCACATTTTCATGTGTACGCATATGCTCGTCGCCCCTGTCCGGACGCCCGTTCACATTTTGTAGATGGAGGCTCTACAGGTCACAACTTTTATCCGATTTTGACGAAGCTTGAAATATAGGTTTATATCCCAAAGATCTTGGTTCATTTCAATATAGATTTAGATCTATTAGGAACATACCCTTCCCTTACTCATATGCTAAGCCATTTATGTAGCACTTTTGGTCCTTAAGACAATATTGGTTCTTTGAAAAATTGTTGCTTCACTCTGTCTATAGAGTCAAATCACACGTAGGCCTACTTAATGAACGTGAATATATAGTTATACATAAAAACAGTGATATTTTGGTAAAATCATAACCATTGTCAAAATATCCATCAAATTATGTCTGTTAAAGGACAATATTGGTGCCAGTCATTAACACATATGTGATAGAACTGGTTAAACACGTTCCAAATATCACAGAGATCATTGCTACGATAGATGAGTAATCAATGTTTCAACAATCGGAAGTGACGAACGCTATTTTTTGTTAAAACCTATCTTAAGAACAAAATCCAAATACTAGACCATAAAGATGGGGACATTATCTGGATTAAATTACCAAGCGATATTGCAAATTTACCAAAGGATCTTTACATAGCAAATGTGTACATTCCTCCCCAAAATTCCAAAATATGGCTGAGTAAAAACTACAACTCATTTGACATTCTTGAGCAAGATATCTCAAAATATCAAGTTCTTGGCGATACCTCCTTTTTTGGGTGGTGGTGGGGTGGATTTCAATGCTCGTACATAGTCTTTAAGACATTGTGTTTTCTGACAGTAATTCATCCAACCTGGATCTACCATACCCAAACATAATCAACGAAAACTCCTACGTCAATTTTCTCAAAATTAAAAATAACAATGACAAAAAAAAACCTAATCTGTGGGGTAGACATGCTCAATTTATGCAGTAGTACCAACACATTTATTTTGAATGGCAGGTGCGTAGGAGATTTATTTGGAGCATATACTTGCGTAAACTACAACGGGTGTAATGCGGTTGATTACATTCTCACTGGCGTATCGAACTTCGACCAAATTTCACCTATGCAGGTATCGTTACTGACATATTTGTCTGACCACTGTTTTGTATCGTGCAAAATTAAAACTAATAATATCCGTCCAACTGAGGTTAAACCGAAAGTGAATAAACCTATTTCTCCCAAAAAACAAGATTATATAATAGGGAAAAAGAAGTTAGTTAAAAAGTTTGTTTGGCGGGAAAACTCGGATCAAGCTTTCTTGATTGAGCTGCATTAGCCAAATTCCTGTACACATATTAACCAATTCATGATGACCGATCTAAAACCAAATCAAGATGGCATACAGCTGGCAACCTCCAATATTAATAATATTCTCATTAATGCCAGTGGGGAAAGTGTTAAATTAGTAACCATAAAGAAAAGATGAAAACAAATATAAATGGTTTGACCGCGATTGCGAACAATTAAAACATGATATGATGACTGCACAAATAAACTAAATGATAACCCAACTGAAAATCTATTACGAAAGATTTACAATAGTAGAAAAAAAACTGTACAAGAAAATAACATAAATTTAAAAGTCGTCAAGCAAAAAATAGCATTTTAAAAAAACTGAATGAAATTCAAAGTCAAAAACCGAAAGAATACTGGAAGATAATAAACTCGTTTAATAAAGAAAACACTGGGGATGATAAGAATCAGGGCATATCCATTGATCGTTGGGAAATACACTTTAAAATTCTATTTGAAGATAAAACCAATGTGAAGAAACAGATGATGCTATCAATTTACTCCTGGAATCAAACAAAACTAATAAGGAACCAAACTCAAAGATAACTGCAATTAAAGCCCTTGCGGGATTAAAGAGGAATAAGTCTTGTGGGCCCGATCTAATACTAAATGAGATGTTTCTTGTATCATGTGAATACATGATTGAAGTGTGTATAAACATGTTCAATCTACAGTAATTCTTGAATCTTTGAGGTTTCCGAACAGTGGCGTGAATCGTTCATAGTCCCAATACATAAGAAGGGGTAACTATCACGGAATTGTGCTAGCAAATGTTTTTTATCTATTATAAATAACCGTATGTCTATAAATATACTGAATCTAATAACCCGTTTGACCAAGCACAGAGCGGAATCCGAGAGGGCCGTAGAACGATGGATAAGGTTTTTATTCTTAAGACTCGAATCAACAAATAGAAGAAACTCAAGAAACCTATATTTTTATGCTTTGTCGATTTCTCAAAAGCATTTGATTCAATTTGGCGCAAAGGTCTCTTTAAATTACTAAAACATGACATTAATGGAAAAAAATATTTGAATTGATTAAATCTATGTATAAAAAAAAATACAACAACTCCATTTCGAAAAACATCGATGTTTGACCAAGCACAGAGCGGAATCCGAGAGGGCCGTAGAACGGTGGATAAGGTTTTTATTCTTAAGACTCGAATCAACAAATACAAGAAACTCAAGAAACCTATATTTTTATGCTTTGTCGATTTCTCAAAAGGATTTGATTCAATTTGGCGCAAAGGTCTCTTTAAATTACTAAAACATGACATTAATGGAAAACAATATTTGAATTGACTAAATCTATGTATAAAAAAATACAACAACTCCATTTCGAATAACATCGATTCTACCATGGGAGTTAAGCAAGGCTGTATTTTAAGTCCTACATTTTTAAATATTTATATAAATGATCTAAATCAATACTTAGACAATTCTACAGACAACGATAATTATCCTATATTAAATACTACTGGTGTTGTGCTGATGTCAGCTACCGAAATAGGATTACAGAACAATCTCGATAATTCAAAACGTTTCTGTGATGAATGGTAACTGGATCTCAATAAAGATAAAAGCAAAGTTTTGATCTTTAAAAACAATAAGAAAAAAAAAACAATGAAAAAATTTG